CCGAAACAATGAACGAGGAACTGCGGTGCCCCTCGCCAGTCTTAGCATTTGACAAGGCCCGGGCTCGTGATTCCGGCATGTTTCGATGCTATTTTTTGGGATGTTCCGGGTCCCTAAACCCTAAATTCCTAGACCCTAAACCCTAAACGAGTGAAGGGAAGATTCAGACAACAGGGGACCCCGCGATGGATCCAAAATTGGAAGATGCTCATGACGAGGACACTTCAGAAGGGACTCGAGATATTCTGAAACCCCATGGAAGGAGCCAGCCTCCCAACCGGTTTCTACTAAACCCTAATCCCTAAACCCTGCGCCCGAAATGGGTAGTCCCTAATTTTGAGAACTACCTAAACCCTAAACCCTTATACACCAAAACCCTTGTGTCTCGCCAGGTTCCGGCAGCGCCCTGCTATGTCTTCATCTAAACTGTCTGTGTCTGTGCGTGTTTCTGAGAATGGAGCTGTCGTGGCTTTAGTCCGTAGACTGGTCGGTGAGTTGCAGGTGTCATTACTTCGTATCCGTATTCATCATATGATTCGCATGGCTGCTGAATAACATGAACATATATATATATATATGTATATATGCATATAGACATACACAGATACTTACTTAGTTCTTCATTCGTATATATGTCGGCTGCTAAACATATCAGTATCAATGGAACTGTCTGCGTTACCGAATCGCGAGAGGACCGGAGGGGTGTACGACCTGCTGTTTAGCCTGACAGAGCTCATTCTATACTGTGCTCAAAAGGACGATGGCAGCGTTTTCGATTGCTGCACTCCTGTCTAGTGTGGCTGTGTGCGGAGCAGTGGCAGAGCTGCGCGTGTCTCAAATGGGATCTGGCTCAAAACTTCGAGGTGGTAGCGAGTATGTGAAAATGAAGCAAAAGTGAGCTCTTGCTTCGGGCTTCAGCCGCCAAGTCCGGTTCTCGGTGAGGTGGAGGCTGTCCTTTTTCGAGCTGTGACCGGTGCCGGTCTCAGGACCTCAACGTATGGGTCATGCCGCATCAGCAGAAGTGCCTGGTCCTTGGACCGCCCGACGCCGTCAGGATGTGCAGGATGTCTCGGACACTACTCACACGCTGTGATCTCCAAGGCCTCAAACCAATCAGCAGCCTGTGCCCCAGCCCAGAACTGTCCTACCGGCCGCAAGCGCTGCAACAGTCGATGCCTCTTCCCCTACACCCTAAACCCTACACCCTAAACCCTACTAAACCCTAAACCCTTAAACCTTAAACCCTAAACCCTAAAACCTAAGCCCTAAGCCCTAAGCCCTAAGCCCTAAACCCGGATTCCAGACCAGCTCCCAACCATGGCACAGGCAGAGCTCCAGCTCCCGGAGCGGATGGCAGGCTCTGTTGTTTTCTGTTATTGGCTCACCCGGTTTAGGATTTAGGGTTTAGGGTTTTAGGCTTAGGGTTTAGGCTTAGGGTTTGGGTTTTGGGTTTAGGGTTTAGGGTTAGTCTAGGGTTTAGGGTTAGTTTAGGGTTTAGGGTTTAGGGTTTAGGGTTAGTTTAGGATTTAGAGTTTAGGGTTAGTTTAGGGTTTAGGGTGTAGGGTTTATCGGTTTTAGGGTAACCCTAAACACTAAAGCCAGGTACCGAGGATTTTCACTTGCGGCGCAGCGCCGCAAGACCTGGCAAGGGCCCCTGGAGCAGAGAGGGGCGTCCCAGTTTTCCAGAAGCTCTATTGTGGCGTAACTTCAAGATTACATTGATATTGCATTCTACGATGTTACGTTATAGTGTATATATTCAAGTATGTTGCCATCTATTGTAGAATATTGCATGACATTATACTGTAGTCTACTACATCATGGCTAAGCCGTAAACCCTAAACCCCCAAGGCCTAAACCCTGAACCCTAAACCCTACACCCTAAACCCTAAACCCTAGGCCCAAAGCCCTAAGCCCTAAACCCCAAGCCCTAAGCCCTAAGCCCTAAACCGTACACTCTAAGCCGTAAGCCCTAAACCGTAAGCCCTAAACCCTAAGCCCCAAAGGCCTAAGCCCTAAACCCGAAGCCCAAAGCCCCAAAGGCCTAAACCCGAAGCCTTAAGCCCTAAACCCTAAACCCCAAAAGAACCCTAAACCCTAAAACGTAAGCCCCAAAGCCTTAAACCCTAAACCCTAAGCCCTAAACCCCCAAAGCCCTACACCCTAAGCCCCAAGCCCTAAACCCCCCAAACCCCCAAAAACCTCTAAACCCTAAACCCCCAAAACCCCTAAACCCTAAAACTCAAGCTATAAAGCCTTAAACCCTAAAGCCTTAAAACCTAAGCCCTGAAGCCCTAAAGGCCCAACGGCCTAACCCCTAAACCCAAAGCCCCTAAAGCCCTAAAGCCCCAAAAACCTCTAAACCCTAAACCCTAAACCCCAAACCCCAAAACCTAAGCCCTAAAGGCCTAAACCCTAAACCCTATTTCCTAAGTTCCAAAGGCCTAAAGAGCCTTAAGAGCCTGAAGAGCGGGGTCTCCTCAGGTGCCATGGACACCTGCGGAGCAGTGGAAGCGATCGTCCGGCGCTCGACGTCGAAGACTGCAAAAACAGGGTAGGGTTTAGGGTTTAGGGTTTAGGGTTTAGGGGCTAAAGGAGGGACCCTTAAAGGGACCCTTGGGGTTCTGTAGGCAATGTAGGGGCTTTATGAGACTATATTAGGGGGTATAAAAGGGTTACTACCATAGGGCAGTTCTCTAAATTAGGGCCCCGTTTAGGGTCCTTTGTAGAAGGGTGCCGTACTATTTTGGGGGCCAAAAAGGGACACTGATTTAGAGAACTTCCCAAGAGGATAGGACAGACCATATTTTTTAGGGTTTACTGTTTAGGGTTTAGGGTTTGGAGTTGAGGGTGTAGGGCTATTTTGGGGTTTAGGGTTTAGGGTTTGGGGTTGAGGGTGTAAGGTTTAGGGTTTCGCATTAGGGTTTTAAGATGGTATGAGGAACAGTATTTCTGTTCTTATATTATGATTCTATCTAGATTGTAACATAAGATACGATAGTCAATAGAACATAGGATACTCCAATCAACAAGTAACGTAGCTTCTGTGATTGGTGCATGCTGTCTGCTGACAGGCTGGGCAAGAACCAAGTTCACATCTCCAAATCCAGAGGTGCCGGTGGAATTCGCCCCCCAGAGAACCCAATACCCCCTAAATTAAGGAATATACCTTACATCGTAATTTTGAGCCCTCTATTCACAATTTAAGGTATATTCCTTAATTAAGGGGTATTGGGTTCTCTGGGCCATGTATTGCACACTAAACCCTAAACCCTAAACCCTAAAGCCTAAACCCTAAACCCTAAACCCTAAACCCTCAACCGCAAGCCTTAAACGTTACACCCGACTAAACCTACAAGCGCTCCTCGAAGGCGGCTTGGTGGGCTTGGTGAACATGGGCAACACCTGCTTCATGAACGCCGGGCTTCAGTGCCTGAGGTGCTTGGGTTCTTTAGGGTTTAGGGTTTAGGCTTTAGGCTTTAGGGTTTTTGGATTTGTCGTGTGCGGTCTCGCGTAGATGTACACCTGTGCATACGTATGCATACACCTGCCGGTTTACATGAAGGTACGCGGATATACAGACCAAGCCAAATGCAAAACATAGACATGCGTAGATGTAGGTGCTATATATATATATATATTTATATTTATATTTATTTATTTATTTGTTTATTTTATTTATATGTATTTGCGCATGCGTGTGTACTTGTATACGTGTTTTTGAAGGTTAAGGCAGATTGGGGGTTTTGGCGTAGGGCCTTCGGATTTAGGGCTCTCGGTCGAGAGGTTCGGCTCTGTACGCGGTTTGCGCAGGTGTTCAAGGGCTCATCTTGTGGTTGGGCTTGGATTCAGGCTTCGGTGTGGGAAGTGAGGGATGTCGTCTGATCGAATCGGCAGCTTGCTTGCATCAGACATCCCCTGTGTTGGATCGAAGCAGCTACACAAATAAGCGATCTACTATCCCAAGTTTTGGAGCAGGTGGCGTATTTAGAGCATGACTGTTTGCCACATTGCGCATGGATGTGTAGTAGGGAGAAATTCGGTACTCTAACCGTAAGCACTAGACCTCTTGCTTAGACCACAAGTGATAAGTGACCAGAAGCTCTAAACTGACTCTAAGCCCTAAGCCCTAAAACCTGAAAAAACCCGAGACGATGAATCCTAAACCGCTTGTCAAAAGACCTAAAGCCAAAGCAAGTCTTGCATGCCAGCCACATCGAGCCCATCAGCGCGTACTTCCTGACGGGGAAATATGCTGAGGACACCCGGGAAACAGATCGGGTCTTAGAGGGTTTCAGTGTTTCGGGCTTCGGGGGTTTGGGGCTCTGATGCTTTTGGGCTAAGGGGGTCTGGCGTTTAAGGGTTTAGGGGTTCGGGGTTCAGGGTTTCAGGTTTGGGGCTTAATGTAGTGGCCTAAACAATTACCAATACTGTTTTGGGGGTTCCTTTTTATAATTCTAGTATAATGGGCCCCAAAGCCTTTTCTAATTATTAAGGTCCCTACATTACGGGTTTAGGGGTTTCGGGTTTAGGGTTTAGGCCTAAACCTCTCCGAGATGGGATTCGGCAGGAGCTCAATACCAGCAACCCCTTCGGGACCGGCGGGCGCCTGCCCCGGATGGTGCTGGCATTTGGGAAGTTTGTTTCATTGCTGGTTACTGCCTCCTTTTTAGCAGTGGAATAATATGTAGAACGTAGATATATCCGGCCGTAGATACGGCGTCTCTACGGGGGCAGTACCCAAGTTTCATCGTCACTCGAAGGGGCCACCTGTCTGGCCAGGCTCAAAGGAGCAGTGAGCCATTCACGCTAGCAGCAGACTTGAGCAAAGCTACCCCGGATGATTCCGGTAGATTCCGCGACCTCACGGTTTAGGGCTTAAGAACCCTAAACCCTTAACCCTAAACCGTTAAATCCTAAACCCTTAAACCCTAAACCCTAAAGGGTTTAGGAATCAGAGGGGGTTACTTTTGAGACAAGCAGATTCGGGACAAAACGCGATGGCCGAAGCATCTAGGGCCTTGCCGCCCGACGTGGAACTGGTGGTTTTCGATACTTTGCTGCTCTTAGGGTTTAGGCTTTAGGGTTTAGGGTTTAGGGATCAGGGTTTAGGGATTAGGGTTTAGGGTTTAGGGTCATGATTCTTCTTCTTATAGTAGCTCCAGGCGATTAATCGGAATACTGTTGTTATTCTGGTTCTAAGGGCGGCTAAGGACATGGCCGGCACCACTGTGAACGACCTTGTCGATGGTGAGCCGCTGGTCATCGCAGCATTCCGGGCCACCTTGAAGGCCTACGACGGAACGGAGGTCGAGTTCGCGAAGGCCAACGAAGTACGTGGCTATGAGAAGAAGGAAGCTCTGAAGCTACTCATGAGCTCCACAAGAGGTCTGGAACGTGAAGCCATTGAAGAAGCAGAGGTTGACGTGGTGTACAAGATTTTCGAAGCAGAGCTTGAGAAGCTCAGCTGCCGTATCAACAGTGAGATTGAGGGAACATCTGCTTGCTTCCAGGAGCTGAGGAGACGAGGCATCAAAGTTTCTGGGTTGTCTTTTGGGCTCTTTTTTTCTTTTTTTTTTTTATTTCCCTTACTAGTTTGTAGAGAACCATAATTTCCCTAAGCCCTAAACCCTAAACCCTAAACCCCTAAACCCTAAACCGTGGGACCATAATAGTAAATAATTTTCCAAGGGCTTAAAGGACAACTTAGGTTTGCGTCGGCTCAGGTTTCCCCGAGCATGTTGTGGAGAGCATTGTAAAGAACCTTCGATAGCCTATGGGAGCACTTTAAACTTCTTGGCTTTATATATTATGTTTGAGCTTTTTTGGTCCCGGTTGTTGAAGAAGAGAGGAACCTGGGCTGGTCTGTGGATGGCTTCTTCTCTTCGGCGAAGCTTGGCGCTGGCCGCCCCGACCCCATCATGATGCACACAGCCATGAAGAGCTGCGATGTGCAGAGCCCCGAAAGGGTGGTGAAGATTGGCGACACAAAAGTTGACGTGGAGGAGGGGAAAAATTCTCTAAAACCCTAAACCCCCAACCCTGAACCCCTAAACCCGAAACCCTAAACCCTAAACCCTAAACCCTAAACCCTAAACGAGGAGGGGAAGAATGCCAGGGCCTGGACAGTTTCGGTGCTCACCGGCACGCAACCTCGAGAGAAACTCGAGGCCGCCGAGCCCGACTCTTCGTCATCGGTTGGGTCACCTTTTTGCCCCCTGTTTTTTAGGGCTTAGGGTTTAGGGTTTAGGGAATGTTTCACCGTCGTTTTAGGTATAGGGTTTATGTAGGGTTCAGGGTTTATGCATTTTTTCCGCCGTTTTTTTAAGGTGGCCAACCTCAATAAAGGAATAGAGCTTTCAAGATCTTTGATACTCTCCGGACCGTGAGCTAGGACTTCATCATTGAGTCTGTTGCAGAGCTGACCAGCTTGTTGAAGCCTGCCAGCTAGACCGAAGCTCGACTTCCGCCTTGCTGGGGCTGTGTCAGTGACGTTGCAAAGTCTTCGATGGCTTACGTAGAACCCTAAACCCTAAACTCTAAACCCCAAACCCTACACCCTAAATCCAAAACCCTAAACCCTAAACCCTACATCCTAAACCCTAAACCCTAAACCCTAAGTCCCAGCTGGATTCTGCAGATCTTGGGCTTTCTTGCGCCTCGCCGCCTCGCCAAAAAAATGCGAATCTCTCTTTGCCTGCTGTACCAGGGTTTAGGGTTTAGGGTTTAGGTACCTAAAACCCCAAACCCTAAACCTTAAACCCCTAAACCCTAAACCCTAAACCCCTATATAAACCCTAAACCCTAAACCCTTTAAGTAGGCTCACGAGGCCCGATGGCCCGGGGAACCTTCAGTTGGCAGGCACTTGGCCAAAGGATTCGCCAAGCTACAGGACCAGCGGACCCAGAGAGCCCAATGCCCCTTAATTCAAGAGGGGCCTTCATATTATGATTTAAGGATTATTCCTTAAATAAAGAGGGGCCTTCACATTATGATTTAAGGATTATTCCTTAATTGCGGGGTATTGGGCTCTCTGAGGAAGAGTGTCTTGGGATATGCGGGGCAGGCCGTGAGACGACGTGTGGCTTAGTCGATGTTCCGCTTGCAGGAGATGCTGTGGCAGAAGCGCAGCCGAACGCACTCGCCCTCTCAACTCTATGGTACATTGTCTAAGTCCGCCACTTAGAAACTCCGGAATACTCCGCGGCTAGCAAAACATGAGACTGCAGCTCCAGACAGAGACAGCACGCGTCGCTGCCCCGTGGGCCGAGGTTTGCAAGACATTTGTTTCGGGACTCAGACCAACAAGATGCACAGGAGCTTCTCTTCATATCCCTAAACCCTAAACCCTAAACCCTAAAAACTGTGAATCAAGCAGTCGCCACAGCATGTCTATCTGGCAGCGCCGAACTCCTGCCAGGGTAGAGTGCGGTGCTTGGACCGGTAGTGAGGCTGAGTACCTTCTGTTACCTCCTGTGCATTCTGGATTCCGTTGCCGCGCGCGCGCGCGCCGCAACTCGCACACCAGGGTCTCCTTTCACAGCTGAGCCGCTATAGTGAAAGGCCGAGAGCAGTTAAGGTCTGTGGATGCTCTTAGTGCATTGAGGTGTAGTCTTCCCTTGGGTTCCCAATTCAGAAGCCTACGTAGGATCCTTGTATAAAGGACCCGAAAATGAGATACCTCTAACTTTCAGAGCCCCCTGTTTGGAGGAGCTTCTTGCATACCTGCTAGACGGGCTGCATGAAGATCTCAATCTCGTCCAGGTGGAGCGCAAGGATCCAGCAGGGTTTAGGGTTTAGGGTTTAGGAAGTTTAGGGTTTAGGGCTTACCTGAAATCCTAAACCCTTAAATCCCTAAACCGCTAAACCTCAAACCATCAACAAACTTTAGTAACTATGAGTTCCAAGTACCTTCATTAGGGGTGTAAGTTAGCTAGTCAAAGCTACCTTGTGTCCAAACCCTAAACCCTAAATCCAACAGTTCCTAAGCCCCATGATCGTTTCAGCATTCTCTGGCAATTCCCCGGTTTCTGCCCCTAAACCCTAAACCCTAAACCCTAAACCCTAAACCGACCGGAGGACCATCGCAAGAAGGAGTCGGAACCCAAAGTGGATTCAGATGAAGAAGACGAGCGGATGGCTCAGGCTCCGGTTTTGTGCACCGGAGTTGCGGGTTTAGGTGTTCAGGATTTAGGCTTTAGGGTTGAGGGGTTTAGGGTTGAGGCTGAAGGTGCAATATACTATAACATAATATATCACAATTTAGTTTAAATAATGTACTATATTTTTCTTTTACAATTTTACATTTTAACTTTAAGTAATCTACTATATTTTCCTATTACAGTGTTTACACAATGTAATATCATATGACATAACATAATGCTCAGGTTCCAATAGAAATATTTCTTCTGACTGTCCAGCGGACTGTTCGTACGAGATCTGAGCGTACGGATCCTGCTCCTGTAGGGCCCCACTTTTGAGCTACTCATGGAGGCCTGGACCGTTTAGGGTTTAGGGCTTAGGGCTTATACCTAAACCCTAAACCGCTTCGCGGCGTCCGCCTCGGTCTGGCCGCAAGTTAATTTGGCCAACGGGTTTCGAGAGTGAAGGTGGAAGATTCAGAGGCGAATGCACAAGAGGGCCATGGGCGTGGCTTAGACCCTGAAGCCCTAAACCCCTAAACACCTAGACACTAAACCCTAAACCCTAAACCCTAAACCCCTAAACCCTTAACCCTAAACCCTAAACCCTAAACCCTCAATCCTAAACCCTAAACCCTACAGCATGGTGAGGGATTGAGAGGAGGGAGAAGAGGTTACTCTTGTGCTGCTTGGGGTTTAGGGGTTCAGGGTTTGGGGGTTAGGGTCATTCGTGGAGGGGGTTGTTCAACAGCTTTACTGCCGACCATGGACAAGTTTTGTGATTTGTTACTTATCTTTCTGATCTACTACTACCATGTAATGCAGTGTGCTCGACCATTACATTCGATAGCGCATGCAGCGTCACCCCTGACAGCTCGAGCGAGAGAAGGGCGAAGAGTACGTCGCTGCCCTGCTGCCGCCTTAGTGCCTCGTGTTTTCCCGGCCCGGTGTAGCCGTACTTAAAGGATCATGGGACTTAGTAAGTAGGGTTATAACTAAGGTAACTATACTTATAACCTATTATAACCCCAATTAAGGGACTTATAACCTTACTTGCTAAGTCCCATGATCCTTTAAGTAAGCCCTCAACCGATCTGCCGTTGCAAAGGACTTGGATGAAGCATCTGATGCGGCATAAGTCTGTCCTTGTGGATCTTTTCCAGGCAGGGCTCAAAGAGAAAGCTCCCCATGTCTCCTAAGCCCTAAAACCCTTAAGCCCCTAAACCCCTACGCCCTAGACCCCTAAACCCCGAACCCCTAAACCCCGGAAACCCCCGAACCCCTCAACCCCTAACGGCCCAAACCAAAAACAACACCCTAAACCCCTAAACCCGAGACCCCCAAAACCCTAAACCCCAAAAGCCCTAAACCCGAGACACCAAAAACCCTAAACCCTAGACCCCAAAACCCCTAAACCCGAGACACCAAAAGCCCTAAACCCTAGACCCCAAAAACTTTAAACCCTAGACCCCAAAAGCCCTAAATCCTAGACCCCAAAAGCCCTAAACCCGAGACAGACCCAAAAACCCTAAACCCTAGACCCAAAAACCCTAAATCCTAGACCCCCAAAAGCCCTAAACCC